GTGCGCGAACGAAGTCAAATCACTTCAATATCAGATGAGATTTAGGATAGAATATGCCAACAGATATAACGATGGTGACAAACAAGTTAAGAATCTAGAATCCACACGCATTCATCGGATTATTTTAGAAAGGAAGTAAGGGACGAGCTAAATGGCAAATTAGAATGGGCCAGAAAGAGGGAAATATGGCTAAACCAACATTGAATGTTACCAATCATAAAGTTCTACCACTGACTTAAAGATTGTTGGTTGCGTTTTCCCACAATAAGATGACTCCAAAAAACTAGGGTACAGTTTCATCTTCGCTTCACCATCTCATCAGCAGCTCCTACCGAAGCCGATACCGGGTCTTGAGTGTCGTGAATGCGTCACAACTGATGACAAGGGCAAAAGTGCCAGTGAGTCAGAGAGCAGATGTAATATTCAAGGTTTCTGCAAACTCACATTTCATCGTGGCATTTTCAATTAAAGAACATGGGTTTGTTATTTCAATCGACGGCATTACTTAATTTCAATATGAGTAGTTTTCGATACTATCTATATTTATTTATTAGGAATTTAGGCACCCTATGACTTTTAGGGGATCCAAGGAGTGATAATTGATAATTTGTCCCACAAAGAGATGAGCCTACTGATCTGATTGTCGGAAGAACTCAATTATCAGTACGTAAATCAACCTACGAGATCTAAGCTGACTAAATTCTGCATTGAAAAGTTGGCTTTCGAATAATCTCTTGTTTTATAATTATTAGGCTCACTTCCATTTCGTGTGAAAGTGTATGGTGAATAGATATGATTGATCGTCGATCCCACCATCATCTCGACCAGCCGTCGATTGGGTTCACTGGAACATCCTTGCTGACTCTGTTTCTGAGGCAATCCTCTTCGATTCTGATAAAAACATGCTAAGCTTTCGTCCTTGCTATGACGGACAGCATCAGCAGGAGGTACCATTCTTACAGACATATTCAGGTCAACAAGTCAAGCAAACGCATCTTTTACATGACGACGAGAGTTCAGCTCAAAAGTGTGGGACGATGAGCCGAGGACTCATTCATATAAATCTACAGTTTTAATTCCAAGGCAATCCCAGCAAGATCTCCGTTGCGATCAAGTTACGAATCCTGTCCATTCCGCTTTTCAAACGACATGAAAAGTAGTAAAAAAAAACAATCTATTGAAGGACTCTTCAAAATCGGTTTTTCTGAAAATCCTTTTGTGACCAGATATTGCCCTAGTTGATCCAACTCCTGCATCGTGTTTCATTTTGCAACCTATCGCTCGTCACATTTGCTAAATTATCATCATCGAGCTTATTGCCAAGTTGGTACCATTCGAGATGCTAATCTCTTCAAAGAGTGTAGTATGTTTAATGAGTAGGTGTAGGAGGTGATAGCGGCTCTTAAGGTGCAGTAAGGACAAAAAATTCCCATCTGCCTATCAAGTGGCCTAGAATTATTGTGAATGTGCACCAGTTTAATATGTTGTTGTAGGATACGAAGTCGCCCTGGTAGAAAGTTCTCTATGAACATAACTTAGAGGTGAGCTTCCCTTGACTTTAGTCGTCCTCATTGTCAGAGCTCATGAGAATAAAGTGCCATTGTGTGTATGGCTACGTGGTTGGAGAACGACTTTCCGGGGGATATTGAGCATTCTAAAAGCATCTGAATTCACAACTACGCCTCTATGGCCTAATGCATGCACGAAACCTTTGCTACGATATAAAAGTCATTAAAGTTACGACAAAAATAGGATAATTTATTAGTTGCTTCTGATAAGTCTAGGTCGTTTGTCTCGACTAATATCAAATGGATGTGATCTATTCTTCATTAATTACGCCAAAATCTACGTACATATTAGGCATTAATTTAAAAATCCCAGAACAGATAACAGCCACTAGTTCGGCATAGAGACATGCTTTAATATTGCAACTCACACAATGTCGGTTTTAGGATTCAGATTTTTATGTTGGTCTGACAGAGGAGTGGTGAGGTGTTCTTGGTAAAATTAGGTTCAGAGACTGTCCCTGCTTCTTTAAATGGTTTAAGGACTACTGGTTGATTTATACAAAATTGGAGGACCGAGGTATACTACTATCAACTATTAGGCATTAAATTATCTTAAGCGACTTAGTAGTGCGGTATTCGTTTCAACTCCCCCGAGGGCAACTTACGACAAGGGGGTTATCGGCGTTTTAGCTACCCGATCGCATACGATTCGATCAATCAACACTAAGAGACCGTATATCCTAGAAGGCCAGCTTGAATGTATGTGGAAGGGGTAGAGATGATGAAAAAGAGTAGGCAAAGACAAGGGCGAGGTTGAGGTTGGAGGCAAAGTTGAAAGCGAGAGCGAGGGTGAGAGCATGGGCTAAAAAGAGGATGAAGATTAAGGCGAAGGCGAGGTTAAGGTTGGAGGCAAAGTTGAAAGCGAGAGCGAGGGTGAGAGCATGGGCTAAAGAGAGGATGAAGATTAAGGCGAGGGCGAGGATAAGGTTGGAGGCAAAGTTGAAAGCGAGAGCGAGGTTTAGAGGATGAGCTAAAGAGAGAATGAAGATTAAGGCGAGAGCGAGGTTAAGGTTGGAGGCAAAGTTGAAAGCTAGAGCGAGGGTGAGAGTGTGGGCTAAAGAGAGGATCAAGGTGAAGGTGAGGCCGAGGTTGAGGTTGGAGACAAAGTTAAAAGCGAGAGCGAGGGTGAGAGCGTGGGCTAAAGAGAGGATGAAGGTGAAGGCGAAGGCGAGGTTAAGGTTGGAGGCAAAGTTGAAAGAGAGAGCGTGGGTGAGAGCGTGTGCTAAAGAGAGGATGAAGGTGAAGGCGAGGCCGAGGTTGAGGTTGGAGGCAAAGTTGAAAGCGAGAGCGTGGGTGAGAGCGTGGGCTAAAGACAAGATGAAGATTAAGGCGAGGGCGAGGTTAAGGTTGGAGGCAAAGTTGAAAGCGAGAAGGAGGTTTAGAGGATGGGCTAAAGAGAGAATGAAGATTAAGGCGAGAG